AAAGAGATGATAGAGGTAGAGGTAGAGAGATAGTCTTTGACTTACCAGTATAGTGAGAGCCAGAATTTCCATTGCTATGCGATACAGTCATAAAATGTGACGTCATGAGACCACATCACTTAGCAATGGCAATCTGGGCATTCCCTGTTGCTGCCATTAAATGAATACCATTAGTTGTTTGGTGAGGACCTGCCCCAATCCGGGCTTGATCCCTCCCAGCCTTCAGCCTTGATTCTTCCAAAGTAAGGGACTGTGTCGTGGAAGTTTTGTAGACCGTAACCTTATCCGCTTACAAATGCGTCAAACAAACAAGCTAGAGGGGTTTAAAACAAACTAGTTTAATAAAACAAACAAAACAAAATCTACAAAAGAATATCAGTAGTCATCTATTGCTCCCTTTCAGCAATGTCTGTTCAGCTCTTTTTGGAGTCGCTCCATGCGATTGGAGCCCAGGTCTTCCTTCCTCAGAAGGAGGCTTTAGAGACTTCAGCTCTTGTCTCTGACCCGGGAAGGCAGCTAGCAGCTAGGTCGGTTTTCCGCTGGAGAGCAGTTCCTTATATACTAAGTGAGTGTCAGTTACAAAGCCCGGGAAACTTAGAGTCAATAGCTACGCGCTGATTGGCCCATTTAAACATTCAAACCAGAAGCCAATCAAAGCCAATCAATAGGCACAGCAAACTGTGAGAGAAGTTTTCTCTCACAGACTGCCTCCTCTTCAACTCCTTGCAGTTGCCTATTTCCTCACCATCTCTGCCCTTTTGACCACCCTGCACCTTGTTTTGTGGGGCAGTAAGCAGATTTAGAAACACACTGCTCTGGGGTTGCTTGCCATGCTGCAGCTCAGAGGCTTCCTGGTGTACCATGGGTCTGGGCCTGAAAGAAGCTCCTGAGCCATAGCACAGCACAACGTTGCAGCCGCCCCTCAAAGCCTCAGCTGCCCCAACACAGTCCAGCATCACAGTGCAAAGCCGCCATGCCCCAAGAAGCTCTATCAGCACAACCCAAAGCCACAGTATCTGGGAAGTGCCTCACTCTACTCCCAGTCACATTTGCCCTCCCCACCCTGCACTCCAAGACCCCTACTGCCCCCGTTGACTGTTGTCTTCTTCTTGCTCCCACTGCTGATGAGGCACGCTTGCCCTGGCCCTCCATGAGGAAACCGTGTGAGACCCAGGTCCTGTGAGGAAACCACCACATGCAACCTTGTAAAAGAAAGCCTCATGTGCCCAGCAGCTGCCTCATGAAGGACCATGCCAAACGTGCTTGGTCAGAAACGGGGGCAAGAAAATGGTGAAAGTCAGCTAGGGTGGCAAGGGCTGCAGATTGCAGGGGGCCAAAAGGGCATAGATGAGGGGGAGGTAAGAGTGGAAGCAACCCTGTGATTGTAGGTAAGTGCAAGTAGGCTGCCAAGTGCCCAAATTTTGTTCACATGACAGCAGGGATGCTGCAACAGCTATAATTTGGTGAACTGGTCATGAGTCCCTTCATTCGGTACCACCATAATTTCAAACAGTTGCTGAATTATTGGTTGCAAATCAAAGACCACCTGCAAAATCTTTAGGCACATAGACTGTTAGATAGAAATAATAGAGATGATAGAGATGGAGGTGGATAACTATAACTGAAGCAAAAGGTTAAAAAAAAAAAGATCTGGACACAGTTTCAGTATTAAAAGCCACAGTTACTTGTTGAAAATCTGAGGCCTGTTTTGCTAAAGCTGCTTATTTTGATGAAATCTTGGAACTTTTTGCTAATGACTGTTAAACTGATAGATATCCTTACTAAATCTTCATCTTTTACAGTGCAAATAGATTGGCATTATTATTTCCATCTTTCTGCCGACTTCATCGCTTGTTGCTTTTTAATTTTACAGCTTCCTGAGCTGAGTGCTAGGAAATCAATAAGTAATTTGGATCCTGGCAAAGGAGAAGAAAGTTATGTTTTGCACTTTTAGTAAATATTTTGAAACTTGATTTATCTGGGAAAACAGGCGCTTAGTTCATATACTAACCCATTCATCAACGCTGTATTATAAATTGCACGGAATTCATATATGCTTGTTTAGAAGGTGAAACAAAGAAAGAAAGAAATATAAAACATTTGTGATAAGCTTTAGGAATAAAATAAATTGAACTTTCAATATCTAACCCATAATCTGCTGAAGCAGATTCTTAAGAACATGTATTTGAATTTAAATAATTGAGTTCACAATTTCCTATCAAACTCTTAACTGATCTGTAGGAATGCTCTCATTAATTTTGAAGATAGAATGTTGCCTCAGAATCAGTATTTGGCTTCTGAAATGAATTTTTGAATTCTGGGAACAACTGATTTGCTAAAATGCATACCTGTTGGATCTATTCAGCAGAATGGGAAATGGACAGATGATATCTTTGTGAATTATGGCTTATATTACCTGGAATACACAATGCCTGATGTATTTAGCAACTGCTATGTTGTTTCTCTTAATGGAAATATTTCTGAAATGTTTCTCTTAAGGGAAACATTACTGAAATAGTACATCTGTCTCTTGCAGAATCAGCTTCCCTATAGATATGGATCTTACATAAACTGAGTGACCATTCAGAACAGGCACTGCTTTATAACCTTTAGGAATCCAAAACAGCTAACAAACTCTCTGTTTTGTTCAAGCCCTACCACTGTGCAGCTCTGAAAGTGTTTTGAGTTGTTTGCACATAATGGTGTGTATAGCCAGCTGTGTACTGGAACTAAAGATGAAATTGAAAGTATAGGAGCAGCACATAGCATACGTGGCCACAGCATTCTGAAGTTGTTGTGAAAGGAGTTAAGATGACGTTACTTGTAAAGCTTTGGTAGTTGAACACTGGGAGGAATTAAGGTTATTATTGCTTCTTAGGATGACTGTCGCTGCTATTCCTTTGTGTGCTGCTTGCCACAAGGAAGTTCAGTTATTCTCTTTGTTATCAGCAAACTTTGTTTATAGACCGTAGAGTTTCCTGCTTTTTGATGTGTAAATATTCAGCGCCAGAAAGATTGGACTGCAACTTTCCACACCTTGAGGTACTCTGGCACATCATGAGGGCTGCTGTTTGAGTAGGTTCACAAAATTAGGTTTTAGACATATTTGACTATATACTGTTTTAGGTTATTTTGTTGTTGTTGTTGTTAGTTGTGAAGCCATGTTCGACCCATTGCGACCCCATGGACAGCATTCCTCCAGGTATTCCTTTCTTCTACCATCCTCTGGAGTCCTTAGGTTATTTACAGACTTTGAATTTGGGAAGAAATCTACTATTGTTTCTACATACACAGAAAGCGTAATTCTGTCTGTTAATTATATAATCATCCTATATTCCAAAGGAAAGAGATGGAAGTTAAGAGTGTAGATGTAACAACATGAGAATTTTATAAAACAAAACAACATACAATCACAATCTGACCTGAGAAATTATATTCTGAGGGGAAAAAATACTTTTGGAGGGGGGCATTAATCCAGTGATGAATATCTAAACTCTTTAAATTGACCATAAGCAAAATCAAGTTTATTTGGTCATAAGTGGCATAATCACTTCTCAGTTTATGCTGGAGATTTATAAATATAGTGTAAAATGTCATTATCACCTCTGCAGTGTAAAATAATTTTTATATTGAGACCACTTCCTGACCTCTCCCATTCTTTCTAATTAACATAGTACCTTAGATATGTACAAGAAGGTATTATATTCTGTCATTTATTCAGAGGATCTGTTGAGTATGTTTACTCTGTCGAACTATAGTTTTTTCTCTCTTCTTTCTTAACCTTCACTCCCAGTTCTAGTTCAGGCTAGTTAAGCCTTTACTTACATTTTACCAAAACACATTCCCTATAAACCGAGATAGCTAAAATACAATAAAATGTATGGCATGGCATCACAAACACCAGTTTTTTATTTGTATGTCATGGAGCTTGGATTATGATGCAGTTTTTATCACTTCTCCTGTATATAACTATGCAGCAAAGTACTGTTTCATGACCAACTTTTTAAAAAATAGCTGGGTAGTAAAATAGTAATATATTGTGTACATTGTATACTCACTTAGGGATTATGGAATGAGAATCTATTTAAGTCTTTAAGGCTTGTAACCCATATATTTCTCTGAAGAAAGCCAACAAGAGTCGTAAATCCATAACTTGGTGAAGGGTTAAAGGTAAATCAATAATCTTAAAAATTGGAGCAAATGTGTCCTTCTCTTGGCCCACGTTCTTTTGGAATCACCATTATAGCTACAAAAAATAATGGCTGAATTTAATATAAAGGGCTTCCTTTGTGTAGAAACATTGTTCTTCTGAATACTGAATGTTGGAAAACAAATGCCTTACTTAGAATGCCAGGAGATATTTTGTTGTATGAAGAAAAAAAATGATAATCTAGAGGGAACTTTATCTGATCTAGTAGGACAATTAGGCAATTAATATGCTTTCAAGGTTCTGCAATACGCTTTCATTATTTTAATACAAAGAATTAAGACTTTGGTTGCTTCCAGGCAAGGAAGCACTGGAAGTCACTCTACTTCATTCATGAAATTATATAGAAGAAAGATGATATTGTCTATTATATGTAACCCTACTGTGTTTTCCCACATCCATTCCTTCTTGTTCCTTTTCTAGAACCATGCATCTTTTCCTGCTGAATGTCTTTTGATTATGAGCATTAGGAATCTTCTTTTGGGAACCACTTATGCAACAAACCTTACCTTACCAAATAATGACATTGGGAGATTTATGCTCTGAGAAGCTTCTAAGCACAGCTTCCCCTATCTCAACACCTTCCCAAACTTTGGACTTCTATTCCATCCAGAAAAGCCATTGCTAAGAATTTATGGAATTAAAATCTATACATCTGGAGGGTGCTCAGGTTGGGGAAGGCTGCCCCAGGCTGTGCATGCTGGGAAAAAAAGCAGTCAGGGAGAAATACACTAAATTTTGACCCTTCTTCCTTTGTCTTTCTTTACTAATCCATATACTCTTTGTCCTGCAGGTCTCATAATACACGAAGGACCCTCGGTTTACCGGATTTTTAAAAGGTGGCAAGCAGTCAATCAACAGTGGAAAGTTTTGAACTATGACAAAACAAAGGATTTGGAGGATCAAAAATCAGGGTCTAGGAGCAATCAACGAAACTCATCTCAGATCAACCATTCATCCTCCACTAATGGCGCAGCTAGCAACTCCGCTGCGGAAGACAGTGTTGCCCGAGGAGCTGGCCATGCCACGGGCACTTTGTCTGATCATCACTGTGCTTATACCATCTTGCATATACTCAGCCATCTGAGGCCTAACGAACAGCGAAGCCATTCTAGCACAAACAGAGAGCTTGTCATGAGAGTCACAACAGTCTAAGCTAAAGTATTTAGGAGGCCTTAATGCAACCGAGTGGGAAAGGAACTCAAAAGCAAGTGGCATGTGGGCTCTCTGCCCTCTCCGCGCCATTTTCTGAAGTGGCACAAGGAGCACAAGAGGCCTTTCCCCAGCCAAGAGGGGGCAAGGTAGACCAGCCGCTCAGCACAAAAAAAGGTTAAAAGTTTGGCTGTGAAATGAAGTGCAATATATACTGCAAACAGTGAACTAGGACCAAGTCCTCAAAAAAGGGGCACGGGGGAGCAGAAAGGTTTAATTTGTCATGTATACAATGGAATAAGTAAGATTTTAAAGAATTGCACACCCAAACACATGCATATAAGAAGAGGGAAAGAAGGTATGTCTGGGTATTTTTTTTAATGTATTAACCAGAGGTTTAAGTATTCAAATCCCGAAATTATTTGTGGCATATGCCAACTTGTGCGCCCCAGGATGTTCACACTGAAATTGCAATTCATTGATTGCTCTTGTTTTATAAAAGGAAATAATGTTGCCCAGGCTTTTATCACATAGCACATGCCCCTGCTGGTTCTATTTTCCTCTTCAGATAGAATCAGCTAGCAGCCCTCTTTGAGGGAGTGCGAGGAGAAGGGGAGGGAATTCTCCACTTGAACCACAAACATATGAACAACTGACAAAGCACAAGATACAGATGAATGATTCATCATGGACATTTGATTTAGAAATTTGTCGAAATGGGCTTCTCCCATATCAAATTTTCTACTTAACCTTTCAACCATTTTCTGCAAAGCCAATTCATTTTTCGCTGTATGAGTAATTTGGTGCAATTCCCTATGATTGTCTTGTTTTTTGTTTTTTTGTTTAAAAAGAGGAATGGAATCCACTTGGATTTCAGTCTGCAGCCATTTAAGTTGTTTTGCAATCTTCTCCATTTAATCGTTCATCAAAAATGTTGTACTTAAGAGAAACTGGAGTTCTGATTAATCTACCCTGTGGGTTTAAGCACCCACACTACAACCCTGTTTTCTGGCCTATGGGGGTTTCTAAGTAAGCATGCTCAGGATTGCACTGACAAGTTAATTTAAGCTGGATATACTCATTGCGTTCAGCTTGTTTGTCTTCAACGTAAGGTTATGTGTGAACACACACAATGGCCTAATGCAGTGTTTCTCAACCTTAACAACTTGAAGTTGTATGGACTTCAACTCCCAGAATTCCCCAGCTATCTGCCAGCCTTCAAAGAGCCAATGTTGAGAAACACTGGCTTACTCTGTGTGCAGATTAGGCCATAATGTCCTGTTCCATCAGCCATAGTTAAAAATCATGGCGTATAGCGTAGGACTAGAGTTCTATGAATTAAGTCAGAGTTTCCTAAGCGCCTTCTCACAACTCTCACTAAGATACAATTGCCAGACTGTTCTAAGGAAGCCATCCTATTTAAATTGATATCAATGATGTATATTGATAGTTATCTCCTGAGTAAATTGACCACGATACTCATTTTTCTATATATATTTTCACAAGTGCCACTACAAGCTGCCTTGAATTATGATAAATATATACCATCTATGTATGTCTGTATGTATATATGTGTGTATATGTGCCTGTGTACATGTACACATATACATGTATATGTATATATATATACGTAATACACCCAAGTTGATTCATTAGGTTGGCAGTTACGTCGAAGTAAACATGTGAACACCTGGACATATAGTAGCTTGTGACATCACTTGGAAAACTCAATATTTATGTTTCTCAATCCCCCCCTCTCCCCCAAATAAAGAACATAACTGTAGAGTTTGGCCTGAGGAATCCCTTTAATATTGCCTTAGAGTCAGTTTAGATTGTAATACTGACAGGGGGAAAAAAGGCTGGTTAACCCTCCTGAGGAGAATCAATTGAACTGGATAGATTTTAATAGGATGTGGCCTAGACACATTCTTTTGTTGGCCGTAAGGATAGTCCATGTGAAATAGAGGGCAAGGAACATTAAAGATTATCCATTCTAAACTGACCTCTTTCACAGGGACCAGTGCAATATCATTTAAGCAAGACAGCAATGGCAAGGCTGCTTAGAGAATCATACAACTGAAAGTCATCTAAAAATCCATCTAGTTTACCTGCTGCTCAAATCAGGAAATTACGCCAGGACTCTTGGAGCAATTTTTTACTTTAGTATCTGAAGGCATTTCCACTCAACTACTCCTAAGGTTGCCAGTTCTCATCCTTTGCTGCAAAGAAACCACAGGTAGTCCTCAACGTACGACCACAATTGAGCCCCAAATTTATCTTGCTAAGTGAGAAATTTGCTGAGTATTGCCCTGTTCGATGACTTTACTTGCCACATTTGTTAAATGAATCACTGCAGTTGTTAAAATAGTAACACGGTTGTTAAGTGAATCGGGTTTCCCCATTGACTTCGCTTGTCAGAAGGTCTCAAATGACCCCGGGACACTGCAAACGTCATAAATGTGAGTCAGTTGTCAGGCATCCGAATGTAAATCACATGGCCGTGGGGCTGCTGCAATGGTCATAAGTGTGAAAAAATGGTCACTAAACAAACTGTTGTAAGTCGAGGACTACCTGTACTTCTGAAAATGACTGCAAATGTACAGGTATTGTAATAGATTAATTTGTTAAATGTGAGATTGTCCATAAAGCGATTAACTTATTTGTTATTGCATTTATATTTCATCTTTCTTCTGCCATTAGCATAGAAACTGTATTGGCAGCACAATGGCACACATTGGGATAGAGGTGTCTCCTTATTTTATCCTGGAAACAATAAATACAAGAGATGGGTCTGAAGGCTAGTCATTGGTCCCAACTAGCTTAGTGAGCTTTTTGGTCGAGGGAAGACGTCCTATTTTTCCTTGATCCCTGCTATTCCTCATCCACTATGCTACACTGATACTCCATGGGAGACAATAAGCCATTTTAATATTAGCTAAATGATCGCCTGTCTGAACTGCTATCTTAGTTCAGCAGGAATGGGCAGTGATAATACTGTATTAATATACAGTGTATATTAAGACACCATAATGAGAGCAAGAGGGGAACCCCATAATTTCAAGCCAGAGCTTTAAAAAACTCCACTGTTTTACTTTGGGGGTATTCACATATGAAAAGGGCTGTTGCACAGCTGAAAATACAGCTTTCACACTAATAATCTGTGCTGTCCTGCGGCATCCTTCAGCCATTGCTGTGCAATTAGACCACAGTATAGGAAGAGCAATCCCCCAGCATCAGATCAAAAAGCTGGGTGATTCTTTAAGGCAATTGATACACTCATGCTGAATGACGAACTATGCAACCCTATATTTTGCACAGTGAAATATGCCTCAAATGAAATGCTATGTCTTTTTTGTTAATTTTGTTAACGGTGTTGTCCCAAACCAATAAGGTCATCATGTTTCACGCGGTACACCTAAAATGAGCCTGTATAGTCTGCTTGTTTATAGTTGTGCGATGGAACCTTTCCATGATTTCCTTTGTGGTTTAACCATCAGATGAAGTTAAAAGAAGTTCTATCCAAATGGATCAGATGATTACTCAGAGTTTTAAGTTGGTATAAGCTCTCCATTGGATAGGAGAAAAGGTAGTCAGAAAGTGAATTCTATCACTTGTAAACTACTTTTTCTCACTGTGGAGAAATTACATACACAAATTTGGGTGAAATGTTTTGCATGATTTTCCCTCCAAAAAAAGATTTAGGCCCTGCTGTTGGGTGAAAAAAAGCCAGTTTCGTTGAACTCAATGGGCTTTTGAAGAAAGGCACAAATAATTGTACTCCAAGTATTTTGGGGGTAAAGCACTTGCTGGTCTTATCTAACGAGTCTCAAAATTATTAGAAAAGAACTGTATTGTATTGAAAAAATAGTGGAACTATGGAAAACAGTGAAATATTCTAGGTGCAAATTGTGTAAAACGTGTGAAGGGATTGTTTTTTTCTCACTCTGGTTTAAGATAAATCTCTTTGTAAAATAGGATGTTTGTTGCTCTTTTGTTAGTGTTTGGCCATCCCTGCAAATACAGGTAGTCCTCGACTTATGATCACAATTCAGCCCAAAATTTCTGTTACTAAGCGAGACAGTTGTTATGTGAAGTTTGCCTTATTTTTCAACCTATTATGCCGTAGTTGTTAAATAAGCAGTATGGTTGTTAAGTGAATCTGGTTTTCCCATTCACTTTGCTTGTAAGAAGGTCATAAAAGATGATCACATGACCCTGGGACACTCTAACCGTCATAAATATGAGTCAGTTGCCAAGTAGCTGAATTTTGATCACATGACTATGGGAATACTGCAACAGTCATAAGTGTGCAAAGCAGTCATAAGTTCCTTTTTTCAATGTTGTTGAACCTTCGAACGGTTACTAAATGAACTGTTTTAAGTCGAGGACTACCTGTAGGCATTTTAACAGCAGTTGAAACATCACAAGACTGTGTTGCTATGGTAGTTCTTTCATAATTGCTGTTGAACACCTAGTCATCCAGATAACAGCCGGCACATTTATCCCAAATGTCAGCCTGGGCCAAGGTAAGAAGGAAGACTTTCCTATTAAGAAGCAACTGTTTCATTATAACAGCCTTCTTCTATGGAGCTGGATCAAACATTGCTGAAGATGGATTTTAAGTCCGTTTGTAATAAACATCCTGATCAAAGTCAGCATGGTGCACCAAAGACCAAAAGAAAGCATTAAGAATGCCATACCTTGGTACTCAGAGTGTTAATTCATTCTGGGAGGTGAGATAGGTTCTAAACAGGATGAGTCCTAAGCAAACCACATGGCTTACTATGTAACCCTTTGTTTCGGCCAGGAAGAACTTTCTGTCGGTCCCTTTTCCTATGTCAGCAACCTTCCCACTGATGTCCTGTCCGCCCTCTGTGGCTGTCCCCCTCCTTTAGCAGCAACCTTCCCAGCATGGCTGACTTCCTGTCCATTCCCCAAAGCCATCCCCCTCTTTCTATAGCAGCATGTCAAGTACTAAACAAAGGCTGAGTACTGGGACAAATTTTTACGTCAAAATGCGTTGAGAGCCAAATTTAAGGAATTTTGAAGCAGTTGAATACTGAGATACCACTGTATATGAATACCAATGCATATCCAGCAATTATTGAAATCTGTAAGAATACAATGGGGAGGGGGGACCCATAATTGTCAGTTGCTATTAAACAGACTTGAAGCTGTTTGTCTATATCTGGGAAGACTATGTCACCAATTCATGAAGACACTCTACAACAACCCCCCTCCCCCAAAAGACAAATTGCCATAATGAAGTATCTTGAGCTGATCTCTATTATTAAAGGGTGTGAAACAGCTGCCTAAAGTTGTATTTCTTAATTTAGCCCTCTAGCTGTAGTTTCTTGGAAATCTCGTCAAAAAATACTTTATGAAATGTTAAATTTACCAAACAAGCCACAAACTACTTTTCATTTTTATTTGTTCTTGGGATGCATTTTGACAGTTGAGGGAATGGAATGGCAGAAAGCTATTATTGCTAATTCAGGAAGACTCTCTGTATGATTTCAACTGCTTACCACAGAGAAAGCAATTAAATTGGTAGCGTTTTTTTTTTTGCAAAAAATGTGCTGTTAAATGCAGTGGTCCATCTAAAGTGGAATCAAAAGGATTTATCCTCTCTTGACAGTTGTTACAAACAGATCCTGAGGACTTCTGCTAGCTCCTTAGGGAAATGGATACTGTAGGACACTGATTCTAGTTAATCTGATGGTCACTAATATCTATAATGTCATTAAGCGTAATGAATTGTTTTTCCCCATGAAAATGGCAAGAACGTCACTTTTTAAAATAAACTTGTTTTCATCCCTATGCACTCTACCTTTTACTGAGTTCAAATTCGATATTAGAATATTGAATGACTTTAAAAACTCCGTTCAATAGACCATAAAGGAAGTAATTTTCTGCTTCAGAAATAATATCTTAAATATTATCTTAAGTGGCAAACAAGAGAGAAATATGCTTTGTACATAATACACAGATCAAAAACCCTGCTCAGTTTGATCAAAAGGCTCATCTCTGGGGCAGCATTTTCTAAAATGTGGGGAGTACCAGTTAAAAGTTCACACTCCTTTTCCTTCATGCCAGGGCTGGACTATGAGCAACCTCTCCCACAGGGCAAGGAAATTAACTATGGGTAAGATAGTCTCTTGCCTTTTAATTGGGGAACTCATGCAACACTGTCTGACAAGTTTATGTTGCTGCTCTGCAATTGGAAATTATTATTATCATCATCATCGTCAGTCATTAATTTATTGTATGGCACATTCACATCACATTTCAATTAAAAACGAGCTAAAAATATAAAATTTAAAATGTTATAAACATACGTTTAGCTTACAGATATTATTTTTTTGCTTCATTTGTCACAGCCAGGAAATCAGAATGTCTCCATTATAGACTCTATTTTGGCACTTTGTCACTATATGTTGGATAGTTTGTTGTTCAGCCCCACTGTCAGAATTCAGTGATGGTATTACGCCAGTGGTGAAATCCAAATTTCTTTACTACCGGTTCTGTGGGCGTAGCTTGCTGGGTGTGGTGTAGCTTGCTGGGTGTGGCTTGGTGGGCATGGCAGGGGAAGGGTACTGCAAATCTCCATTCCCACCCCACTCTGGGGCCAGCCAGAGATGGTATTCGCCGGTTCTCTGAACTACTCAAAATTTCCACTACCAGTTCTCCAGAACCTGTCAGAACCTGCTGGATTTCACCCCGGATTACGCCCCACTTATAGAGGGCATCTGCATATCTATCATGATTTTTTCAGTGTTGTTCATTTGGTTCAGTGTTGTCTATATTGCACAGGGCTGGTCAAATCCAGGTGGTTTTTCCAAGACGCAAGGCAAACTTCAATATTGTGGGTGGCAATTTGCCATCCAAATATTGTTTCCACATATTGTGTATATTAAAATCATCTTCTACTGGTAATTTATTTTTATTTTATTTTATTTTTGCAAATGGCAAAAATCTTATCCTTTTAAAAGACCTTTACTCTGGTATGCCAGAGTATTCTCAAGTATGCTCTATCAATAAAAGATTCTTGCTATTATCAAATTTGAAATATTCATATTTAGATGTATACAGTATGTGCATCTGATTAACCCATAACCCATCTACCCTCACATACCTTCTATGAGATCACTGATAGGCTTTGACCATTAAAAGAAAAAAAATTAAAATGTATTTTATTTTTGAAAGTCTATTGTTCATAGCAGTGGTGAAATCCAAATTTTTTTACTACCGGTTCTGTGGGCGTGGCTTGGTGGGTGTGGTGTGGCTTGGTGGGTGTGGCAGGGGAAGGATACTTCAAAATCTCCATTCCCATCCCACTCCAGGGAAAGGACACTGCAAAATTCCCATTCCCACCCCACTCTGGAGCCAGCCAGAGGTGGTATTTGCCGGTTCTCCAAACTACTCAAAATTTCCATTACTGGTTCTCTGAACTGCTCAAAATTTCCACTTCCGGTTCTCCAGAACCTGTCAGAACCTGCTGGATTTCACCCCTGGTTCACAGCCATCTCACTATGGTTTATCCAATAAAGCTTAGTTAAACAAAGCATAGTTTTGTAAAAATTGTGAACCAAGTCAAAAAGAAACAAAATGCTAGTGTAAATCTAGACCTGGTTCATATACCACAACTGGTTTGTTTGATTTTGACTTAGCTTCTTATGTGACCACCCCCCTCCCAAACAATTTATCATAATGTGTGAACTCAGCTTTACGTGATGTATTAAATAAATCATGGTCAAACAAATTGGCTTAGCAAGATGCATGAACCCCATCAGAAAAGAAAAATATGCCTGAAGTAAGAACATGATCCATTGCCCATCCAGTTAAAGGTACTGAAAGCATTTTTTTTTAAAATTTGATTTATATGCTGCTCTTCTCCGGAGACTCAGGGCGGCTTACAATGCGTTAAGCAACAGCCTTCATACTTTTGTATATTTATACAAAGTCATTTTATTGTCCCCACAATCCAGGTCCTCATTTTACCTACCTTAGAAAGGATGGAAGGCTGAGTCAACCTTGAGCCTGGTGAGATTTGAATTTGCAGTAATTGCAGGCAGCTGATGTTAATAACAGTGCTTTAGTCTGCTGCGCCACCAGGGCTCTATTTCATCATAGTTCACCACTGGGTTTCGATGAGTATGGTATTTCTAGGCGTAGGAAATCACATCCACCACTGTAATGGATCAGCAAATAAAATATTAAGTTAGGTATCTGTGTTGCACACTCAAATCTATGTCTCTCACTTAAGCGATTGAAATTCAATCGCTTTATGATTTTTATCCCTCCTTTGGGCCACAATGGATCAGCGGTCAAAGATGCTGAGCTTGTCAGCTGGAAAGCTGACAGCCTGGGTTCGATAACCAAGCGCCGCACAAAGGGGTGAACTCACGTTGCTTGCCCTAGCTCCTGGCCATCTAGTAGTTCGAAAGCATGCATATGCAAATAGATTAATGTTGGCATATAGGAAGGTACCACTGCTGTGGGAAGATAACACCACAGAGCCTGAGTGTATAGTCATGTTGGTCACATGACCATAGAAATGTCTTCGGACAACACTGCTCCCTTGGCTAAGAAACGGAGATGAGCACCTCCCCCAAGAGTCGGACAGGACTGGACAGGGGGAACCTTTACCTTTATCCCTCCTTTATTTTTATAAATAAGTCAAGGAGGTGAACATATTCAGTACTCCTTTCTCCCCCTATTTTTCTCACAGCAACAGCCCTGTGGGCTGAGAGAGTGAGTAACTGGCCCAAATTCACCCAGTTCAGTGGTAGGTTTCAAATTTTTTTACTACCGGTTCTGTGGGCGTGGCTTGGTGGGTGTGACTTGGTGGGCGTGGCAGGGGAAGGATCCTGTAAAATCTCCATTTCCACCCCAGGGGAAGGATACTGTAAAATCTCCATTCCCACCCAACTCCAGGGGAAGGATACTGCAAAATCCCCATTTCCTCCCGATCGGCTGGGACTCGGAAAGCAGAGAATAGATGGGGGCGGGGCCAGTCAGAGGTGGTATTTACCGGTTCTCCGAACTACTCAAAATTTCCGCTACCAGTTCTCCAGAACTGGTCAGAACCTGCTGAAACCCACCTCTGACCCAGTTGGTATTCATGTCTAAGGCAGGACTGGAACTTACCTTCTCCTGGTTTTTAACCTAGTGCCTTAACCACTATTTTACTATGGAGGGAAGGAACAGACTCCATAATCTAGTTTAAATTTCAGATCCTCATTCAGACAAAAGCTTTGTCTGCCCTCTTGAACTCATTCCCTTCTCGGGAAAGAGGGATAATAATATGCTGCCTACCACAGGGGGCATTGTGAGAATTATTTATTTATTTATATTTTATTTTATTTATTTGTAATTTATTAATTAATTCATTCATTCATAAATTTATTTGTAAATTGTATTTATTTATTAAATAAATAAAAATAAATTATTTATTTATTTATAAAAAAATTTTATTTATTTGTAATTTATTAATTAGCATGGGAACACACACCTTCTTGCCAATGAACACAGAGCCAGTTCCCATAAGATGGAAAATGGATTTCTCAGAAAAGCATTGTAAGGATTTAATATTAAATCCTTGAAATACTTTTCTGAGAAATCCATTTCCCATCTTGTGGAACTGGCTCTGGATTAATTGTGAGCAGAAGGGGATTAAGAATTTTTCCCGGGCTTCCCACAACATGCTATCTCTTGATACCACCCTGTCTTTTTTGTTTTGTTCGAACGATATATGTCTGCATGTGCATGTTTTCCTTGCAATGAATTTATGTGCCCCTACTTTACAGACAGCCTCATCGCTTTTGTGCCATCCAACAGGAGCACTCTCCTATAAATATCAAACCCTTTGTCTTGTTAAGATGACAAACAGGAGCTTCATGTCAGAGGCTGTGAATCACTGTGAGGGCTTTCAGAAGTGGCCAGTTAAATGTCTTCGTAAACATGTGCTAACCATTTAAGGGGACCTTAGTTTGGTATTTCATTTGCATTCTCCAAAATGCAAATGAAAGTGGTGTTGTGAGAAAAAAAATCCCTGCAATTTTTCCCTCCGTTCTCATTCATTCCTGGCAATAGAATTTGCTTTCAGAAACTTTTCAGAGAAATTTGTGGGGGTAGAATCAGGTCTCCTTGCACTTATTTGGTTATATATGAGAAAGCTCCTCTTTTAAATGTACATTAACCTTTCGAATTTAGGCTGTTGGTTTGAGTTCCAAGCTTGGCAATTTGTTTGCAAACTTTTTGTTACCATTCAAGGAGACATCGTCAGTGCGTTTTGAATTGTGCTTGG